CCTTCAACACCGCCATGCCTTCCACAGGTGGCACCCTCCCTACGACCCCATGCAGACACTTCAAATCCACAGGTCTGTACACTCTGTGTGAACTGATCTCCAGCGCCTACACGCAGCAAAACACAGACACTTTACCTCAACAAAACCCAGTAACATGGGAAACCGTCTGGTTCTCCGGTAAAAACTACAACACAGCAGCATTCCGCCAGGGGCTGGTGAGTGTTCACACATACATCCAGCAAGTGTGGAAAAAAAAGGCAATTCAGTTCTAATCAAGGATTCTGCTTACAGGGCTGCTGCAGTGTTTTGAAGTAAGTTCTTGCTGGTATGGCTTCACCTCTAGCTCTTGCCCTCTCCCACAAGAAATATGACATTCCAGACCCCGAGGGTCCGTTTTGAAGCAAAGGATCAGCACACCTGGGCATCTACCTCTGTCTCCCACAGCTAACCTCAGGGCTCATAACAAGGCCCCATGGGTATAGACTCAGCTACTCGCTCTTTGAATCCGTCTTACTGTACCTGCCTCACTTAGAACACCCTACCAAGAACAGTTAACCCCCACCGATACGACTTACAGGGTCACAGGGCATATAGCTGCCAGCAGGATAAGATGGGAAGGCTATAATCGGATCATTTTTGCATGCAGGGAAAGGGCAGTAATGAAACAATGGTAACAAAGCACTGTGCATGCAGACTGCTTTCTCTCTAAGTATCACAAGTAACTGCAAACAGCTAAAACAAACGTTTGAAAGATAACACTGCCAGACACAAGAAGACAACTTTAGGTTTGCTACACTTTGCCCATCACAAACGCTTACATTTCTAATTAAGTTTTCAAAGTGAATGCAGCTTTCCAGGTTGGTCGACTAAATGCATTTTTGCAGCAGCAGAATTGGTTGGTGTATTAGACGACTCAACCAAGACTTTCATTAATTTATCCCAAACAACGATTTGTTTTCTGCTCAAGTGGCTGGTGGAGTGGACAAACTTTGCAGCCATGGTACAAATTAGATGCAACTTCATTGATTCCTGTGGGTAAAGTAGGGTCACTGCAACAACAAAAAAAAAAAAGAAAAAAGAAGTAAAGAAAAAGAGCTGACACTATAGAATGAGAATAAGAAATAATCGCAACAAAATGAACATCTTGAGGATAATGCCGTACACTGAAGATAGCATTGCAGTGTCTTCATTAAGACGAGGTGGACATTACAAGGAGGCAGGCTGTCAATAAAAGCATGCGGCCAATACACAAAATGCTTGTGCAAAATCCAAGAGGGACATTTTGATGAGTCAGTTCGTGTGGGTAAGTGGGGAAAGTGAGGATCAAAACCAAACCTCCCTAATGATCCTCCACAAACTGCACATAACTCACCATGCAGACACCTCTCTGCTCTCCGCCTGCTTCACAGGGAAATCAAAAAGTTCCCCTAAATGCGACTTCCAGTCGAAATTCCATCAGTTGTTCAGAATAAAACTCTGAATGTATATCTCGTCATTCTCTTGTGGCTTCAGAGTGATGGACAGCATTCTGAATTCACTTTCCCTGGATTACCCTGTTTCAGCTGTTTCTTAATTGAGTTTTTAAAAAAATCTCAGACGTCACGGCCGGGTGATAGCGGGTCCTCGGAGACTTCACCCAGACTGAGAATGTGAAACTCATAGTCCTCCGTAAAAAAGGTCATGTGGAAGTTACAGTATTAATTACAACCAAAAGTCATCGGTCTCATGAGATTCAGCCTGTTTCCATATACACTGTACTGGCTATAATAAGACCTGTATATCACTGCAATTAACCTCAGAGTAATCGTTTAGAAGAATGATAATGAACCAACTGTCTGTCAAATGTAATGAAGATCTTGAGCTTTCTACACCGACTACATATTGTGATTTATTTACATTCAGCTCATTAGAACCAGCGCGGAAGAAAACAGTCTCATTCGCACAAGCTCGACCCCTTCACCTTTGCCCTCTCCATGCTGTTTCTGTTTCACAGTTTGTTCATTGACTATCCCCAACCAATTAGCGAAGCGTACAATGCAAAACACGTCAATGTTTAGCTGGCATTGTTGCTAAATTAGGTTGGGCTCTCGCTGGCCATCATGCAAACAAAAGTGGAACACTCTGCATCGAAAAGGGGCGTGATAATTAAATATCGAACAAAATGGGAAAGACTTTAAAGTCTGCCAGAGCAACCCTATCTCTACAAATTTCTGTTTGTGTTCAACTGAACTGCATGCTTGTGTACGTTTTGAAAGAAAAGTAATTTGATTTTGAAACAAATGACACAGGAGACCAGGGACCATTCCCCATATGTGACCATTATTCTCAGGCTTAAGTTTCAGTTTCATTTGTTTACTTCTGGTTTTCATTTGCTCTTTGGTTGGATTTAGGCACCAGTACTATGGTTGGGTGGTTAAGTTTAGGTAACTACCTAAACTAGTGTTGGTCAACACTTTAACATCAATTACTACATGTTAGAAGCCTGGTTAAGTTTAAACCATTGACTGTATAAAAGATGGACGTAGCTCCCGTGACGTCACCCGTTGGTTTCTGCTCTGAGAAAATGAAGCCAGGGTTTTGCTACTTCCTGGTTGACATCTTGGAAATTTGGAGCCAGTGACGCAAAAATCGTCGAAGGGGGGCGGAGCCATAGGAGCAGCGATTGGTCAGACGGATTAAGAGGCGGGCCCTCTGTGCCCGCCCACATTTACCGCCTTCTGCTCGCTTCGTCTGTATGGTCGCTGCCGACTGTCAATCAAGCCAGCCACGCCCCTTGCCCCGCAAAATGTTGACGATTTTTTTAAAAATTCAGTATTGATTTATTTTCAGATTGGCCACCTGATCTCTGGATTTGACTATGAAAACGAATAAGAAAAAAAACCCTGAGCTGGAGGAATGCAGTATTTCATGATCTGTGATCACTTCTTTTCCAATTCAAGTCTATGGGAGCCAGGGCTTTTTGGAGCCAGCAGCTAGCGGACGCAGGTTTTTGACACTTCCGGGTTGGTTTCATTTTTCAGAGCCAGTTGCTACGTCCATCTTTTATACAGTCTATGGTTTAAACGCCAAAATTACTCAACTCGTCAGTAGGATCCCTCCCTATCTAATATATGACTGACTGGAAAAGGAGGAACAGTAAAGCGATAAAGTAAATGGCAAATATGTGATGATTTGTGACATGCCTGAGATACATTACACACAAACGCAATCTGACAGAGAATATATTCCCCCCGAACTGTAATTGAGAATGCAGTTTAGTTATATAGGGATATAATTTTGTGGAGGAAAGGTTGACCAGAGACAAACAGAATCTCACTGGAGCAGAAAATGAATTATTGAAATCATCAGTCTGTTGGCCTTTAACTGAAGCGAAAGAGAGAAAATGAAAAACAAAAATAACTTATTTGTGTGGCCACTTGGGGGCTGCAGAAAGAAGTTATGAGCAACAACACTGGCGCGTCATGACATTTTAACTGGGCAAAGCAGTTGCTAATTTACACATATTGCGCCGGCAGCTGCAAAGCAACTATGTCATTCATTTAGAGTCAAGTTTCTGACCACCTGCTGAATCAAAGTCCAGTATTCAATCTCCTTCTAGGTCTCTTTTTGGTCTGCAGCAGCTCCTGAGGGAAACATCAGAATTCTTAAGCTGGTATTTGCTGCACAAAATAGACGCTAACTGCTTTTTGGTGCTGAATGACGAGCGTACCGTGGGTTTACTTCAGAGCATTTAATCTATCTCAGCATCCAAAACACTATGAGTATGGTGTAGGTGACACCAGAAAAGTAGAGGTGTGGTAACAATGAGCTCACAACAAAGCTAACATTAGATGCATATTCGAGTGATAATTGTTTTCACATGAACTACACCCGCCTTGACACCTCGGCAGAGACTGATGCTGGTGTGACCACACTTTCACAATACTTCTTTACCTCTACTTTCAAATATGCAGTCCAGGGAGTAAGATACAAACCTGCTAGTATCTCTCTCATGTTATCATGCAGTTAAAGCAATGAAACCTTTTTAAAGATATTATACATTTGTAGCTGCTACTAAAAAGACACCAAAGCACAAAATGGCAGGCTGCTTTTTTTTTGGCAGTAGGTATCATCATAACTTTTTCCTGAGAGCAGCATGGTGTAACTCAGCTTCTCCATTTATTTGCAGTGAGTCTCCATTAATAAGGAGTGCCCTCCACAATCATTCACAGAGCCACTCGCTTCTGAAGTGCTGCTGGAGAGGGATCCTTTTGGAAAAGACCATTGTATCCCAGGAATAAATACTTAAGGTGAAGTCCTTTTCAGACACGGTAACATTTCTGGCTTCATCAGTTTGTTAAAGTGATCATATTCTGTCGTTTGGACATAAGTTTCATGTTAATGTTCTTCATGGCTTCATTCAGACATAACCGCAATCTTGACAGAGAGAGACACACCTGTGATGTTTTTCATTGATGCAAGATTGGACAGCTAATCGAGTAAAATAACACATAATAATGCACTAACAATGATTCTCATTAATCTGTTACAGCCTCTGATCTCTCGTACTTGTCCGACCCACTAAGATTGCCATTGCAACTTTGACAACAAAGCTAAATGAAATACATTTTCAAAACATGAATTTCTACAACTCTGCTCTGTATTGTGTATTTTAAAAACCAATTACTGGCTCTACCTCTATCAGGCATTTTAAAAAACACCATATCACAGCAGTAATAACAGAAATCGCAGATCGTCACTTTGACAGCATAACAAAACACTAAATCTTAAGAATAGGTGCAAATCTGTCTTTAAATCTGTGAGACGATAAATCTTCCACCTGTCCATCGTAACAGCAGCTGAATTCTTAAACTACGTCAGCAGTTCACTCACTAAATACAACTTTAACGTTAGAAAGCAATTTGTAGTGCTTTTTTTTTTTTAGCATCCACAGGAGTGGCTAATGTTGTTCAGCAGACAATGACAAAATGATTTAAATAAAAAGTGTGAGAAGTGTTTACCGTTCACTTGAAGAGTGTGGGTCTGGAACAGTTTCTCGTATCCATCAGCATGACAGGTGTAGTTGCCCATGTGAGTGGTGGTCACCTTGGTGATGTACAATGAGCCATCATCCCCAAAATCCTATCAGACATACAGGAAAAAAAAGGAGCTTTAATCACTTAGAGAGACAATTTGCAATCTAGGAGCAGCAGGTATGGTTGACGGCGTTTTGGAGCTGGAAATGAACGGTGTCAATGGAAATGCAACAAGCCTGCAGTGTGCAGATGAGAATCTTTTACAGAAGAGGAAATGAAAACTATCACATGTCATCTGAAAATGCACAGTGTGGAGTAAATGTCCATCAATCTAAGTCAAAAGTTTAAGCCATTTAGCGCCACAGAAAACAACTGCAGAAAAATAACTGTCAAAGTCACAGTTAAGAAAAATTGCCTTCTTGTCCGTGTCATTTTTCCAATCAGAGGAAAGTGATCTAATGGAATGGGACTGAGGCTGCAGTTGATGAGTGTAGAAATTACACAGTGTTAGTTGCTTTCAAAACAAAAACAGGGAGATATAGTGCTGCAGACACAATCAGAATAACTCCTGCTGCTCATTTAAAGTGTCATTTTCCCCGAACAAGGCAAAATGTCAGTATTTATCCTTTGGCTAGCATGCACATCCCACAAATGCAGTTCTCATGTGGCCTATTTAAAGCAAAACAAAATCTGCAATGAAACTGAAAGCTACCCATGACCGTGTAGAACCAACTGAAACATGATTAGTTCATGCTGTGTTGTGGTTATTAACACACACACAAAAAAAAAAATGGTGCTGTAGAAGGAATAAGAGCAAACAGAAGAATAAACTGTTCAAGCTGTAGCACAGAAAGAAGCCCCCAAAGCTAATAAGCCCGTTGATGGTGTGCCGGTGTGATGAATCGTCTGCTAAAGAGTGGATGTCTGTCACCTCGTTAAAACCACACTGCAATAAAAAGTCATCTTCACAGGACATTGTAATGAGTTTTTCTATTATGTAGATCCTTAGAGCAATATCATATTCTTAAAAAGTATGTCAGCTTTCAAAAAAAGGAGGTAATTGCTTCAATAAAGAGCTTATTGGTTTCCTATGAAAATCAACTTCTTTTCCTGCTTCATGCTTTCACAGTAATAAAAATGAAATTTGGTGAAGAAACCCTTCAATTTTTCTCTCCTAATTGTAAACTTAAGCGTAATGCCTGTTTGGACTGCAAACATCCTGAGAGGAAGCAGCACCTCTTGTTTCCCCTCCTAAACTGTCCACGTTGAAGGTGTCCTGAAAAAACGCACTTCGTCACTTGTTGCAACACGGGAAACAAATCACGGTGCTGAGTTTGTTTATGAGCACATCCAGCTCTAAATGAAGGGATGACTAACTGTTCGGGGGCCACCAACAGTACTGTGTGGAACAGAATCCAGTCCTGTGGTTTGCTATGTTGTATGTTTAATGCGAGGTCGATGACGTCACCTGTGACAACCATGAATCCTCGATCCTGACCTCCTGACTTTACGAGTTTCCCACGTCCAGTAAGAACAGTCTCACTGTCTGCAGTTATTTTCCAGCAATTTTATGTGACCAACAATGCGTGCCACGAAAACGGGATTTTTACAAATTTAATATATTTCTTTTGGAATAATAATAATAACCATCGAAGAGGTTTTATAGTTAAAATAGCCTGAAGAGGGCTTTACAACAGTAGTGTGAGTGTTTTCTGGAAACTGTGCAGTGCAGCACTCGTTGTGATGTACAATTATTTACATAAACAATATGTTAAAAATAAAATCAGAGCAGCGCTGAGTTTGTTTACGTGCATCTTCACTGTCTGAGCTCACCGTTGCACTGTCAGCTTTCTCTTATATACATCTTGTCAGCAGGAAACTCGTTCTGCTCGAGTTTCTTTTTCGGTTTGTTTCCAAGCTAGTCAGCTTTCTATTATTTAATCCCTGTTTATAGATTCTTATGTCACACATATATCAGATTGATGTTAATTTGACACATCAGTTGCTACGGGAGATGAAATATAAACACATTAAAAAATGGTTTGTTACTGCATTAATACTGCGAGTGGGGGTTTTTTCTGCATATTTTTACTATAACTATAGTATAAAGTACCTACAATATTTAATTTACATCCTTTCTAAGTTTCCTCCCACACTTTACTGTAAGAACGAGGGAAACACATGATGTGCATCTGAGCAAAGAGGAGTTTTAGTTTGATCCTGCTGCCGTTTTATGTAAAAGATTATCTCACGTTATAATCTATTTCCTAATTTGAGGAGAATCAAATCTATATGAAATTATATGACAGCAGTTATTTTAACACATCAGCTCGATCAAGTGAATGTGTTGTAAATCTTTAGGGACTACTTAGAACTAAAAGAACTGCTTTTTCTCACAATAATAGGTTTCACCACTTTGCGATGCACAGCGGCTTTTCAGAAAAGAACGTGCTCTGGCACTCAGCCTTCATTAGAGTATTCATCAGTACCACCTAACTAGATGAAGGCCAAGTGCCAAAACGTGTTCATTCCTGATTGCTGCCATGCATTAAAAAATCATTCAGATATCTTTTAACGGTGTGAACTTTTACTCTCAAGAATGTCCACGAGTCTGCCTGCCTGCTCCTGGTTTTATAGAGCTCAACACAGCGTTCTTTTGTTTCAAAAAAGGAAAAAACAAAAAAAAGTCTCAGCCCTAATTACAAGTCCTCTTCCCAAAGAGTTCATAACAAGAAAAATGCTTTTCTCATTAAATGGCTTTTAACATTTTGATCACATCTTTGCAGGCTTTACATCTTGGCATTCAGCGCACCCTTAAACGTCTGCAGACGAGCAAGGAGAGTCAACCGTCGTGTTTACAGGCGTACAGTGTGTTTATCAGTTTGTCCCGGTGTGCTCCGATCTAACTTACGAGCTCGCTAACGGCTCGGGCTGAGTGAAGCATCAGAGCTTCACAATATGAGGGGAAATCGATGGTGCGTTTTGGCCCCTTGGGCTGAGAGCATATTGTGTCACCTTCTTAAATGAAAAATGAATGGGGGGAGAAATGAAACTCAGAGGGGTGGAACGAGCCACGGCGGAGGCTGTCGACATGATTCCTCCACCTCACCTCACCACCCTCGCTTCAGCTATCAGCAGCACCCAGCACCCAGCTCTCTGCAGACAAAGCAGGCATGGGTAGGACTACTCACAGGGAAGGGAGACAAGGGCAGGTAGAGGTGGATTTACAAATAGGCCATAGCCCTCAAGAAACTATAATTAATAAAGCTGTCACTAGTGGGTCACCTCTTAAAGGACACCAAAGAGCCACCTCACTGGATGGCTAACCTCTGGTAGTGACGAGGCATTTCAGACAATGGCCTTTGTAGAAGTTTCCGGCCCCGCCTCGTGAAACTTTGTCAGAGTATGTATATGAGAACACAAAACCCTCCAGTGTATCCAAAGAGAGGCATAGATGTCCTACGATGAATAAATAATAAAGAAAAAGTGCTATAAACTGGTGGTTGGTGGACATTAAAGGGTCAGTTCACCAAACACAAAGAAACATTTTATTACTTACCTTTAGTTACATCTCGCAAATACTTTCAGTTTTATGTGCCTATTTATATGAGATTGTGTGAGATTTGTGCTGCTGCAATTTATGGAAGTGATGGTGTTTAATCTTCTTGTGCTCACAGCGCTGAAAACTGACATTTAGAAAAGCAACAAGAAACTCTTTCTTCTTTTCTTTCTGTTATTTTGAACTCTTTCTAAATTGTGTGTAGGTGAGTTATCGAGCTATGATTTGTTTGAAGGCTGGCTACCTCAGATGACCCCTTCAGGAGCTATAAAAATGTTTTTAATTGAAGTGAATTAATGATTCCACACAACTCACCGCCCAGCGTTCGGGAAAGGGATGTTGGTGTTGAAGTTAATTTGATCTGATGCTGAGCACATCAGAAGCAGAATTCCCATCGCCTCCCTCATATGGGTAAAGGTGTAAATCTCTGAGGCAGGTGTCTTAAAATCTTCACATACAAAACCAGAATTATCCGCATGAATGGTTGCTACCAGATAGGGTGGGAAAACATGTTTTTGTTGTATTTTGGTGGAAAAAAAACCCTTCAACTACTGAAATGTTAAGTGTTGTTTCAGCTCTAATTTATACCACTTGGACCACTAAATATTTTCCAGATTAAACATAAACCTTTATTTGTACCAGATTTTTTCTTTTGACTGAACCGTCGTCAAGGCTTCATATGACAATCATACAATTACTGCAGAATCCAGTTCCAGTAAAAGAGCATATTGTCGATGTCTACAGTCCGCTATTTAAAATTTAGAGTTTGTTTCGGATGACAACAGCATGCTGCAGGCACTTTGCTAGCTTTGTGGGCTTTTTGTGAATGGAATGAAAAAGAGTGATGCAATGCCAGTTTGTTGAGACCAAAAACAACACCCTACCTGGGACGGGATCTGTTGGGGGAAAAAACACAAGTCAAACGTTTAGAAGTTTAGTTCTCAAGGCATTACAAAATGGCCTGTAAAGCAACTGGGTGAAGCAATAAATCAAGCGACCGACATTTTTTGCTTTCGTGAAAATGCAGAAAATCCACTTTTCAGGTTCACTAATATGAACATTTGAAGGTTTTTCTTGCGTTATAATATCAATGGAATATCTTGGGACATATTAGTCAGACATAGAGCTGTTCTTCAGGGTTGCCCAATTGAAAAATCAGTTGAAAGAACCCCGACTCAGCTCAATTTCTCATTCAACTTTATATAAAAAAACAACCCTGATTCAGGCTAAACTACTCAGGATTACCAGCATGCAAAGTGCACCCCACCTCCCTGTAGTCACACCAGGATGCCAAATCTGAAAATTCTGAGTTAGGGATGGCCCTAGTTGGACAAAATAAAACCTTTTGATGATATAAACTGATGAGTGTTTCCTTGTTTTTTGATGTTTTGTAAAGCAAACAGCTACTCATGAAGATAATCAGCAGATAAGCTAATAAAAAGCATAATAATGTGCTGCAGCCCTATTGAAGTCAGTCCAGTACACAGCACACAGTCGAGCACATGAGTGGGATTCTGGGCTCCCTGGCCACATAATTAATTCAACAAAAAACCCATCTTGATAGAAGTTGGAAACGTAATAAAACCGGCCACTGTATTTCAGCAAGATCTGTGTGTTATCTGCTGTATGTTGTTGCACAGCTTGATTTAATCATCCACCTGAAACAGCACGGATGGAATACAAATAGAGGTCCGTGCTGATCAAAGCCGACTACAGCTATAAATAATCACATGCATTTAATGTCTTCACTATGTGGAAATTATGCTAAAACCACCAGCGTACTGCGCTGAGCATTAGGGTAGATAAAAACACCCATTCCACTGGACAAGATAAGAAGAAAGATTCGGCTCGGATTGTATAGTTTCCTGTGTTTTATCTGTTCCTCTTGAAGCCGCCGCGTCCATCTTCAAAACAGATACTCTATTTTTAACAAATTCATGCTTTTCCGCGATTCAATTCACAGATTTTGCTAAATCAGATATATATATATTTTTTATTGTTGTTCACATGTCCAACTACGACTCTAAAAAGTTGTTGATAAATACTTTATACAAACTTCTACATTTCCCCCCCACATACACTTTCGCGTTTGGATTTTCAAATATCAAATGCATTTTTCATTGCCTGAACTATTGCTGGATCCCCAGAGTCACCATCTGCAGACGCAAACATGAACACACACACACACACACACACACACACACACCCACACACACACACACACACACACACACACGCACACAGAGGCATACACAGTACACGACTGTGTCTTTGGCTCGGCCACTCAGGGAGGATTGAAATACTGACAGCCTTGGATGATGATGCAATAGCCAGCAACTGTCAACTTCATGGAATTACAGTAAGCTGCTTTGTCAAAATTTAGAGAGGCTCTATTGAACTCCAGGATACAAGCGCCCCACTGGGATTAATGCGCGATTCACTAAGTCTGAATGTCGACAAAAATTTCTAAAATAGCCACCTTCTAAACTGGGAAGGCCTGTGAGATTAGGCTGCATAAACCTCCCATGTGTACTCACAGGAATATGACTCTAATTAAGGCTGGCAGTGGATGCTCACAAATATTAACAGCCAGCAATTATACAGAAATTGTCTGCAAGGCAATTTAGAATGGGTCTGTGGATGCCAGGTGCAGACGAAATCCATTCTCCTCTCTGGAAAGAACAACAATGATTGACTGGAAGTCTGAGAGCCAAAAATAAATCTGGATTAAGCCGCTCGTGTTCCATTGGTAGTTCCCCTCGGTGCTGCGTGGTTCGCACACAGTTTTCTGTTGAATCACAGGAGGCAGTTAGCGCCCGTGCTGATTCGCTTGCTGGTGGTGTTCTGCGTTAGTGCGGCTGCTCCGGAGGTAAGCGGTGCACCAGCAGAAGTTGCGAGCTCAGACTTTGTTCGGTACCAGCTAGCAAAAAAAAAAAAAAAAAAATCAGATCTGACAAACGCATACCCAAAGGGTCAAAGCACATCAAGTTCTCTCAGTCTGAAGAGAGACAGATTAGTCCCTGTAGTAGTTTAACTCAGTCTCACTTCATGAAGCTGCAGTGGCATCAACCCAATATGCTGCATGTACCACGGAGACATAACAAGAGTAATTTATGCATCAACATTAAATAGAAGGAATATGAAGACTCTGGGGGTACCAGAGTGGTTCAGGGTTAATTAAAATGTAAACTGTTGTCCTTCTTTCAACTCTGTTTTCTCTATGATGTGTAAGTCCAAGTACGAGTTCTGTGGACTGACATCAAATTTTGATGCTTTCTCGAGGAGCATGATGGTTGCAAACCACAAAAGGCCAAGCTTTGATTGATTACCAACACTGCCTGCTCTTCTCTCCACTATACCAATAACGAGGGGGCAAAATGAAGATGGTATGACTCCAAAAGCTCAACAAAGATGTTTTTTTAAAAAAAAATAGCTTCACACCAATGTCCAACAATGTTTGAGGTCTTTGGTTTTATGCCATCATTATTCCAGCAATTGATGGACTTCAGACAACGCTTTTTTTTTTTTTTTCCGGTAATGAATATAATGAACATCAATTGACAGCACAAGCTTTCATCCCCGAGCTTACATTTGAATGGAAAATACACCTGAGCAAGATCTGATATTAGTCACAGGGGGAAACAGACGACTGTGTGCTAAGTGCAGACAAAGACCACCCTCGGTCGGGACACCGAACTCTGCTGTGTGTCTTCAGGCAATATCAGGAGATGAAACCAAAAAACTAGTTCCATTGAATCTGCAGGAAAAAAAAAAAAAAAAAGCGGTAAAACAGCTCTTGGAAAAAAAATGTATGAAAGATAGATCAAAGTCTGTGCTGACCTTACCAGACCTTGCATCTCACTTTTTTTTCTCCCATAAATCCCCAAAAGATATTCAGAGCGTTTTCAAGAAATAATCTGACTTGACATTTCTCTTTTGTTATGCCCAGCGCTTGCATACATCTTTTGGCCATAAATTGCTCAAAAGCGGAAATAATACATTATAGAAAATGACTGAATAAGGCAAATGGCGGATAAGCGGCTTCTCTCACATGCACGGCTTTGGCTCTGCTCTTTACGGGAATCACACATCACCAACAACCAGAACCAGCGCGCTAGTTTAGAGCCAGTTGATGGTGCCAAGGATGACTGGCGACAGCTGGGTGCCTCTTACTCATTTTAAGGGTCATCAACATTTAATGTTACATTAGTGGCTTCGCTGGGTTTCCCTTTATCTACTGCGACAGTGTTGACTTAATTATGCACAGCAGTATCACACTCATCTTGGTCAGTCTTGACGCACAGAGAGGAAAAGCGTACGGAAAAGGAGGTCTGCTCCTGTGCTGCTTTCTGTACCTCGCCACGTAAGTATCTTTGCTCCTTTTGATGTGGATGAAAGTGACACAGGGGGGCGTCTGGGGCCGTGCATACAGATTAACACACACTCACACACACACACACACAGCCATTCACCGAGTTGTAAAAGTAGGTCCTTCCTCTAGGGCTGAACCCCTTTGGTATCCCCCTTCATCTTCTTTCTTTGTCTGCAATCCCTGTCCCTCCCAGCTGTCTCTAAACACAGACACCAAGAACACAAACTGACATCCTGGATTACTGTCAGGCCTACAACACAAAGCCAGTGCCAACAGTCAAATAAAATGTGCTGACAATCTGAGCCACTGCCAAAAAGAAATAGAGTTGAAATATGATGAGAAAAAAAAAAAATCTCGGATGAATAATCTGGCATTTACCATCTTGTAAAAAGGTGGCAGCTCTGAAACTGCAAGAGACGGCATATTGGCGATACCTCGTGCAATAATCAGAGCTCATCACGACATATGCTGGAGACGTCCAATCACAAATCTGATTGCACATCTGTCTCCATGTCTGTGTTTACACTTCCATGCATATATCCAGGCAGAAATGACAGCCAGCTCTTACGTTGATGTCTTCCAGGTTCAAGGAGTTCAGATACTGATGGTTTCTCTTCCACAGTATAGGAGGCCTCCGCTCCCCCGTGATAGCACAAGTCAAGACAGCACTCTGGCCCACGGTGACCGTTGTGACGCTGACTTTCTGGTCATCCGGAAGGTTGAGCAGGTACACATCTGTTGACGAGAAGAAAAGAAAAAAAGAACTCAATGTTTGACAGACTGTTTCAGGGAGATTGGCAGAATTAAAGTTATTGAAGAAGTTAAACTATTGAGTGAAAGTGGCAACAATTACAGTCCTTTGCAAAACTTTTAATTTGAATAACTTGGCATAAGAACTAACAAAGTGGAAAACTGCATTCAAGTCAGTCTTCCTCCTCTTCGCATCTGAAATTTGATGGACTTCTATTTCTTGTAACAGCTCATAATTCAGAGGAATAAAACCCACTGAGAATTTACGAACTCGCGATTTTCTCGCAGTTTGCTCTTAACGAAGCCTGAAAACAAGAATACACAGTACAAGAGTGTTTCAATTAGCCGCTGTTGAGCTACAGAAGCAGATGTTTTTTTTGTTAAATATGCACTGAGGCGGTACAATTATTGCAATTTGCAAAGTAATGGGATGGAATTAAATTTAATGCTCTCTAAATACTTTGCATAATTTATGTGATGATACTATAATGGAAGTTGTACTTTCTCTATCGGTCTCTCTGAGGACCCTGTGTCCACCACTATGTACCTCTTTCTTAGCTAAAAGAACAAACCTGACACTTTTGGGAGGCACTAGTTCTGCTCTTCTGCTGACTGCTGAAATTTCATCTGAAGCGTGCTGCTTTGTGACTTGGAAGTTGGAATATTTTTAACATGCTCAGTGTTCTGAGAGTTTAAAACAAGCCAGGCTCTCCACGCTGTTGTAAAAGCCCAGGAGTGCTTCCTTTCTGATGAAAGTAACATGGAAAGAGAGAAAAAAAGATTCTGGCAGAGAGGATCCCACTGGAAACACAACCCCTTCACCTCGACCACAGTAAGTGCTTTGTTCACTTCAGTATTTCTGCAATACTCCTTAGTTTTTAAAAACCTCTTTCTGATGACGATGAGACACACACTTTATCCAACACTGACAGCAAATATGGCAACAAACTCAGCCAGGATGAGTTGGTGAGAGGTCAGCATGGCCATGGTTGGTTAACGCCTTTTGTGTGTCCAGTATTTTGAGGGAACAATCGGTACAATGTACGCTCATCCATTCTTTGGGGGAATTATGTAATGCGGCCTGTGAGAGAATGCTTTTTAATCTTTCTCTTGGGTAATGAGCAATGGAGCAAAAGGAAACAGAGACTCAATTTGTTCTGCTCCTAAGGGCATGAAATACAAAACCTAATGAAAGAGCAGGTCCAACAGACAGTGTTCACTTGCGCCAGCCCAGAAAATAAGGATGAGAGCACCTTCAATTACAGCATGACTCCAGTGGCCCTTGTACCAATGGCTTCTGAATGCTTTTTTAACCTTCTCACTCGTTTGCCGTGTTCAGTCCACTTGTTGTATCTTTGAACTGTGAACTTGGCCGGCCTGTTAGATCCAGGCCAATCGGACTGGAGCCGTGAGACAACTCACCCTTGTTTTCAGTGGGAAGCTCTGACTTAAGACTTCTAATCCCACATTTGGCCCAGTGAAACCCTGCTTAAGCTCCGGCGAATCACTCCCAGGATTACATCAAAATTAGAGGATTATTAGCAGCCATTTCTTATGAGTGGAGAATAACTCTAAATTTAAATGATTATACTATTCGTGAGGGGTTCTTCTGTTGTGTGTTGTGTTATTTCGCTGGTGAAAAACTAACAGTTGGGTTAGGCCAACTGCTCTGTGACAGAATTGACAGAAACTGAGATCAGTTCTGTTGCATTATATATATTATAGATGCCCCTGCAATGTTCACCTCATGTATATTTCAGTATTCGTACACAATGTATATGTATGTGATCTTTAAATTTTAAAACCTCTGCTGTCAGTAATCCCCGAGTTTGCATGATGCACATTTTTTAGTCTTAACTGCAATTTTTATTGCAGAAACCATTTTTTTTCAAAATCATCTCAAACACATTGACAAGAAAAAATGAGACACAAGACATAAAAGAAACAATCAGCCCCTCATTTGAAAAAAGCAAACATGAGCTTTGCATTCATTAGTCAGTCTCTTTCATTGGATGATGGTAAAATGTCTTGTCATGGCCTGCAAATGGAGACATTTCTCTTGTCGTTAACACAACCCATCACTTGTTCTGATCCGGTGAAGGCAGGGTTTAAATGGTACATGAAAAGCAATACCCAGCTTCATAAAGCGACTGGAACATCTCCCTTGTGGACATCATAATGTGACAGAAGTCATTCAATGGGACACATTTGATCAGTTAGGAGCTGTTTGTGTTTAATGAAGACATGACAACCGCAGTCAGCGGGGGTTGATGTGAGAGCCATCATGGGCAGAAATAAAGAGTAATGAGTGAAGGGAAATGAAGAATGCCAGAGAACAGAAAACTTGCAAGTTTTATAGGATCTCATTAAATGTGTATTTTATCCAGTGTGGCTACAGAGAGGCAACTTTAGTTCACAGGAAGAATAACAACCAAATGATTGTTTCAGGGCTTACAGACATCCTGCTGTCATTAGCGATGATTTCAAAGTAATAACACACTCATTGTTAACATTTCAACAAAGTGAGTGGATCAGCAGCAGAGGATAGCACATAGCGTGAACTCAGATTGTAGACTCACCCTGCTTGTTAAATATTCAGTTCTGGTAGACATTTGCTATCCGGCAGGATGAAACATGTTGAAACTTCAGAGCTAAAGTACAATACGTTCAAAACTAACACGATTAAGTGCTTCTTCCAGAGAAAGCCGAACTAAACAGCATCAGACCTTTTCACTCTGCTGTCTCTTTGGTGTAACACTACAGGCCCATCGGAAGGACAAATATGAGCAGACAGCTTCTTACACCTGGGTTTTATTTTTATAGCTAAGTTCAATCGGTTAAGATTGTACTCAAAGTGAAGAACGTAAATGGATGCAGTCACTTTTGCAGTATGGGTGCAAACGTGACGGTACGATAACCAAGAAAACTGAGTGCAAGCCTTTTCCAAGATGGGATATGTAATATTGCTGTTCATGAATCTGTTTAAGTGATGATATTCTGACATTCAGACACACGTTGCTTTATCTTACATTTATTATTGATGATTCTCATGGCAGACTGGGGTTTAAAGTTTTGTCTTCTGTTTGTAATCGATGTGAAGTTGTTGGGTAAAGTGAATAAGAGGTGTTTGGTGATTTTGCCTACAAATTGTATCTTTGGTTCTCTCTGTGGTGTTTTTGGACCAATAGTGGTGCTGAATTATGGAAAAAGGCTTTCCCAAATGGCGTCACACAACTCAAAGTACGTTGCTTGTGCAGGTCTATCTGTTATAGTTCAGACTTGGGCTGTGTTAAAAGAAAAACTGAAATATTACTGGGTCCAACCTGACAAAATCACAACTGGGTGCTCATTCAGGCGTTAAGCTGACGTGTTCAGCTGTGCATGTCTGAAAAGGGGCTTGTAATGCTGTGTGTAAACTGTGTTAAGAGTTTACCATACACAGTTTGAGTAATAATTGTTCTATTCACCTTTGTTATTTCATTCTAATAGATTTTACAGAAGAGGGGTTTGAATCTGACCATTCATGTTTGGTGGTTCTGGTTTGGCAACAATGAAAATTTGATGAAGTTCCGTGCCGATTTCGTGGTTCTTACATTCAAATGAAAACTGTTATTAACGGCCCAGTGTTGTAAGAAAATGCTGGGTTCAGTTAAAGTGTGGGTTTGCCAAATGAAAGTAGTTTAAAACAAACCAAACAAGATGTCAGACAGCAAACAAAAACACACGATGACCAGAAGAAAATGAGAAAAAAAAAAAAAACACAAGTGAAATAAAACACATTAAAACAGCCTCGATGTAGAGAGTAAAGAATTAAGAAAAGTGGATCTTCCATCAGTCACGCATGGCTAATCCATGATCCTCCTCCTCCCATGACACTGATAACAATATAGCCAGCAGATCAGCACACCATGCAGCCACTTGGCACTCTCCGTGGAGCTGAGGTGGTGGTGGGTGGATACGCTGACAAAAATCTCCTTCAATAATGTCCTCCCTAACCATTCAATTACAGCCCCCTTGTATCTTAATGCTTTTGGAATACGCTGCAAGCAACAAACTCGATTTGCCGCTGATCCCTCGGGGGATAGAAATGTGTGAAGTTACAGCGAGAATTTAAAGAAGAAAGTGGGCAGACAGACGGCCAGGTAGGCTCCATCATAGCTTTAGCTGTTGGACGGAGGAAAGAGGGGAGGGAAGAAAGAAGCGAGGGCTCGTATCCGACCTGAATGAGAAACTCCTCAGAGAGACGGGAGTCTGGGCTGTTGGAGCCGGCTCAAACACTCTGAGTCCAGAACCTCCTCTGCGAGAGATTTATCAGAGGAGGAAGTGGCATTGGCTCCTCTTTTTGGTCTGATTTGAGGCCTGAGGGACTCTGCCCCCCGGGAAGGATCAACCTTCACCGTCCAACCTGTAATTAGTGATTAACGGTAAAGTCCAGACTTTTGATTTACTCTGCTCTGCTCCCCGAAAGGGATGTTGGTCAGTGCCACGGCGAGAGGTAAATCACCTATTGCACTGGAGGCAACAAGCTTGTCAGGGAAAATAGCCTGGGCCTAGAGGACGCTGCGAGGGGCTGGCTGCATGAAGACAAATTGCACCAAGGTTGCTTAGCCAACCCTCTTACTCCATCCTCTATCATGCTCTGTCACCCTCTTTCTCAAACACATGCTCACTCGTGCTGTCTCTCTTCACCAAGTCTTTCATTCCTCTCTAACACACTCCCTTTCTCGCTCTCAATGACATTCAATATTACTAAAGCTGAACGGTTGTGTAGCTCCAATCGCTTTTGAGTTTGACGTTTTGAAGCAAAGATAAAAGTATTTTTCCCTGATGCTGAGTATTCATAGCCCATACACAGAGACTCAAAGGTAAAAGAAAAAAAAAAAACACCCCAAAAACAGAGTACACATTCATGTGAATATTCTCTGATCTTGGATGGTTGACTTGATTTGTGCAGACTCTCTCCCAAACCAACAAGAATGGAGTCT